ACCAGGATGGTTTATCGCAGAATCCAGCCTATTTGGATTTTAAGGACAGTAGTGATGAAAAACACTGGAGTATGTGTGCCTCTCGCTTCTGGGCAGTTTTTTTCTGGAGATCAACTCATTTCTGCAAAACCAGTATTTTTTATGTTATTGTGGTATCACTTTAGTACATAGCTAAATGTACATAGTAAAATGAGGTAAATGTTTGCAAATTGTCATGCGTATTTATTGTGGTCAAGCTAAAACATTAGGAAGAACAACTTTGCTATGTTAATTGTATGGTATAGGGGTTTTTTAGCAATTGATTGGCAAATGCACACTTCTCGCTCGGAAATCTAAATATGCCTGATCAGGTTCTTAGGTTGATTTTTGTTTGTGTCAGAAAGCGTGCATGCAGTTCATGACTGCTTTAACACTGCTGTGTGCAGATGATACTAGGAGCCAAGCTTCAATACAGAATGAATGAGATGAGGAGCTTTGGCTTACCTAATATAAAAAGCCATAGTGTCACAAAAACATGATGCTGTCTTCCATTTCTAAAGTATAAAACTTGCTAACTTTTTGCTATGTTCACCTTTTGCTTGATATGCTGTAGTTTCTAACTTCTTGCAGGTGATTTTTAGCATAAAGAAAAAAGAATTTAACAGAACTTTTCAAAATAGCCAGGTCTTCCTGAAATGTTTTAAGGCCATTAAAAGAAAATAGGATAAATCACCAAATTATGGGAAAGAAAAACACTGTGTTTCCAGCAGAGATGGAGATTAAGAACTGAATCAGAATTAGGGTATCATTTGTGGTCAAATATCACAGTCACAGGCTAAAGAAATCCCAAACAAGACAAAGTACTCCATGCAGGCATTAGCATGGTAATGGACAATAGAGGAAATATTTAAATACATGATATGTTTGCAATTTGACATATGAGTCCGGGGTGGAATTGTATGATATGCACTAAAACAAAATGCCTAAAATATCTAAAGAAAGATATGCTTTCTGTTGAAAGTACAATGTAATAAAGCCAGAAACCTTAAAGTTGTAAAATTTGTGTCTCTGAAGTAGGAAAGTATGACAGATAGGGTGTAGAAAGTGGTGTTTTCACTAAGTATGCATTTTTAAGAACCTGCTGCTTAACTTATGCTTCTAAATCACTTCCACTGTGATTTTAAAAAATTCAGACTGTACTTCCTGGAATCGTATAATCTTTACGTAATGATATCCATATTCAACTCTCTATGAAATGGCTTTAGATATGTGTGAGCAGTATGATTTAACTCTGAGACTTGGGGTTTTTTTGTGGTGGGGTTTTTTTTTTATATTAAGGTCTTAAAATGCAAACTATCGGAAGATTGGAAAGTGTATGCATTAGACATCTACTTTTCTCTCATCCTCTGATTATCTGCAGGAATGACAATAGGTAACTTCTGTAAGAATATTCTCCAGGTGTGCTTAAAGCTCTTCTCAGGAGCCAGTGAATGGGGTTTTACTGTTTTTATAGAGCGTTCATGGGTGCTTACTTGTTTTGCTCAGGCATGAGTAGGGAGGTACTTAAGCACAAGGAAAAAAGGTGTTCCTATGGGGTGGGGGAAGCACACAGGCTGGAATGTGATGCCTTCGTAGCAGAGTTCCCATATGCTCCAGGAGGAAACTGGCTTACATCACTGTGGTGTCTTTCTTTGAAATGAGAGCCTTGTGTCTCAGTACCCTGCATGATAAGAACAGCTTTTCTTGCCGAAAAGATGCTTTATAAGTTTGGGGGGCTGGGGGGGAACAAAAATGAAAACCTGTATTTCCATGAGGTCTTCCCTGCACTGAAAAGGAATGCTTATCAAAGCTTAGGAATAAAGAGAAAACTGCCTTAGTGGCACTAACACAATTGAAGAGAGAAACGTAAAACCCCTGAGACGTCTGAGAAAGCGAGAAGTTACTTTGTGGTTACGCCACCTTCCCATGCCCTCAAGCAGTAGGATATTAGGTGTTTTATACCTCTACTTCCCCAGATTCTGTACAATATTTAAAATGTATATAAGCAATCTTTTCCAGGCTGGCATGAAGCCAACACAGTGTAAAAGTGTTTTGTCAGGAGGGAAAGTGCATTGTAAACAGAGAAGTGACAGGGTCCAGATTTGAAACTTTCTTTAATTCTGGGACACGTTGGATTTTAACTCTTTCCTCACCTTCCTGAGAGCAGAGGTTTCGCTAGCTGTTCTTACATGCTGAAATGGATGGAATTGGGTTAAGTCCTAGCACAGATGGAGCTAGGATGGAATAAGTAAGAAAGGTGATACTCAGCCCTTTGTGCTTCTCATTCAAAGGAGTCATCTTACAGAGCTGAGTAAGTGCTGCTGGTAGAGGTGGGAGCTGAGCAGCTATTCTTCCTTTGGCTGTGCAGAGCTGGGGAGAAGGGAAGAGAATTTCTAGTACTCTTGTTGTCCAACTTTAATAGGAAGTGACTAAAGTTCCTCCAGTAGCTTGACTTACCTTTACACGCCTTCTCCTCTTCCTGAGAGCCCTCAGAAGATGCGGACAATGTGCTGCTCAAACTTGTGCCTTCAAGAAAACTGTCCCAGAATCATGAAGGAAAACAGCTCTACTTCTCCAAAAAACACCTGCCTTGTTGCTGTAACTTTTTCTTGTGGTAGATCTTGCCTTAATTTTTCCATTGGCCTACAGGTATGTGAAATGTTGCAGTTCAAAGAAGAAGCTGAAGAATTCCTCTGAGTCTGAAATCTGTTAATCTTTGAATTTCATTATACCAGAGAACGACAAAATGTCGAAGCCCATAGTGTATAGAATTACTTCCCTGCTACATACGTGAGCATCATTCAGCTCATTACCTTGTAGCTGAACAGGAGTATACACAAAAGACTTAAACTGATGGAGAGTTTACTGCATGCTTGGTAAGGCGTAGTTGTATTTTATTTCCGACCTGTGACTTTCAACTATTTTGTCCTTTTTATGCCTATTTTAGCTGAATTTAGAAGTCTTCTATGTAAATTCTCGAGACAGTGACCAGGTTGCTGCCTTTATATTCTTTGGTAATTAATTTGGATTAAGCTTGTAGAGTTCTCATTGCAAAGAGGTTTTCCAAGCCTTCCATTTTTATAGCTGCCTTCTGGGCTTTTTTTAAAACAAAAGGATCAGAAGTGCATGTAGTTTTCTGGGAGTGTTCTCTTTGTGAAGGTAATGTGTCTCCTTTCTGCTGCTTATCTGTCCCTTCAAGGGTTGCATTGATTGTTCTGAGCCTAGAATGTATTTGGAGGGTCTGTGTTCTCTCACTCTTCTTCAGTTGTGAAAAATGTCTTTTAGAATATGATTTTCCAGGATACAGTACAGTAATTTCAGTCACTTCTTCCCTATACATAAGGTTCCAGTGGACTTTCCTCTTAGAGTCCAACTTTGGTTTTATTCAGGTACATTTGGCAGCTGTTTGAGGCTGTTATGCATTAATTCAAGAGGGTGAACCTGTTCAAAATAAAAAAAAAAAAACCTTGTTCATCCTATTATTTTGGTGCTGACAAGGCTGATGAATGTTACTGTTGAACTGTAACTGTTTCCTATGAGTTTATGATTTTTCTGTGTACACTTACTTTGCTGGAGACAGAGATCTCAGCCTCCTGAGTCACTTTGTAACAATTTTTACAAAGTTTAATTAGCGTTTCAGGCTCTAGGTTTCTGTCATGTGAAATAAGTTCCATGTCAGTGAATTTACCTGAGATTGTCATCTCCATATGACTTCAAAGATCTTTGCTGCCCTGGTCCTCTTACAGTTTGTGTTGTGTTTTTGGTTTTTTGTTTTTTTTTTTTTTAATTTAAAAAGAAGCATCTACATAAGCCTTGATCCTTAAAGGTTGACGTACAAAATAGTAGCAGATATACACTCATGTTTCTATCACCAGGTTTGTCTGAAACTTGATGTCTATACTACTTGTTACAAAGCATGGTTTCCCACTTCCAATGCTAGCGGAAGTGCAGCATTCCCAGATCATATTCTATGGTTATGTAGTGGACTTAAGCTGTTTTGAAGTGCTGTAGGGATGCTGCCTGTCCAGCCAGAATTCATCTTCTGTGAGACCACAGAACTAAGTACTGCTACTGACATGAAATTCCAGAGTTCTTGTTAAGTCTACAGCTGTAAGTTGAGAGGGTTTTGCATCTTTTCAGCATTATGCTTTGGGAGAATAAGGTGGAATGTTCTCTTTCCATGCTGGGTTCATATTTCTTACTGATATTTACATCAGCTTCCTTATCTCTTGGTGATGCCAGTTTGTGTTTTGGGTTTTTTTGTAATTTTTTGAGGGTATTGCTTTTGGCTTTTGGCTCATTGCATTTGTGCTGATTTCTTTTGAAAGTCTTTCAGGGCTGTTAATGCATGCAAATGTGCATTTTCCGATGACTTAGTTCTGCTTTTTTGAATTTCCTGTAACCAGCTTCACTGATGTTTATGTTCCTTCACGATACTTCAAAACTTATTTATCAGGTGTTTGTCTATGTTGATCTTATGGAACCTGCCCTTTTCTCTGTTAGAACCCCTTTTTGCTCTCTTGAAAGAACTTCTTGTAATGTTAGCTTTCCATGCTGACAGTGCTACTTTGAAGGGGGTTTTGGATCAGTGACAGCTTGAAGAATTCTGCTAGCTTTGTACTTGAGAGCTAAGTCTCGGAACTGTTAGATATTCCCTGCAGAGACACAGACTTGCAAAGTAAGCATCTCTTTCTTGCTAAGAGAGTTACTCATTAAAGCATAAATCTTTTCCTCTCTACTACCCTCCCCCAGCCTTCCACAGTTCTTCCCATAACTGATTACACAGGGTATGGTGCATCGTGGAAATAGAACATCATGTGTATGTTTTTCCCCAGCTGAGCCTGAAGAACATAAAATGGAAAAAAAGCGCAGCACACAGATTGAAAACTGAAATGGATATCTGCACTTTTGATACTTCTAATGACTTGAATATGAACATCATCTGTATTTTAATGTATTTGAGGTTCAGATTTATGGCTTAGGCTCCATCTGACAAATATGGCAAACTACAAGACTTGAGATTAAAAGACTGAATTATACCCATTATGAAAACATATGTGGTTGCTTTGCATTGCATAAAATAGACATAATTTTCTCTAAGGGTACCTTTTATCAAAATGAAAAATAACTTCATTTGCTCATTCACATAAATTGTTTGCTGCTGTGCTAAGCAGTTTTCTGTAGTGTCCATGCCTTTAACCCAAGATACATTACAACAGGTAAATAACCCTTATTGCAGTGTTGTCCTTTTGAAATAACTTTGAACTGCAAAAGAGAGGTTAAAAAAAAACCAAACCAACTTGCTTGAAATTGTACCAAAATTTCATTTGCTTTCTAGATTAGAGTATAAAACAGGAAAAGGGGAATTGTCTGTTACTGAAAATTGTATAGGCTCCTGAGAAACTCAGATGTACTGAACATTTTTTTCTGTTGGGTCCATATAACATTCAAGGAAACAAGATATTTTTATCCTAATTTGGGAAGTTTGGCCATGCCAAACAATTTCTTTTTTCTTCTTTGACAAGATTTTCAAAAATAAAACTCTATCCACATGATCACAGTAGTGCTGTCTTTGATTAGAAATACAGAGGAGAGCTGAATATGATGAATGTTGATCTAAAGATGACCAAATTCAGTATCAAATTACTTATCTGTAAATATTACTTATCCGTCTTCTCATGTTTAATGTACGGTTGTAACTGTTGTATGCTCTCTTTGACATATTGCCTTCTTCTTTCAGGGTTGAGTCCCACCAGATTTCGAATAGGTGACCAAGAGTTTGATTCTTTGCCGTCTTTACTGGAATTCTACAAAATACATTATTTGGACACTACAACCTTGATAGAACCAGTTTCCCGATCCAGACAGAATAGTGGCGTTATCCTCAGGCAGGAGGAAGCTGAATATGTGCGAGCTCTCTTTGACTTTAATGGAAATGATGAAGAAGATCTTCCATTTAAGAAAGGAGACATACTGAGAATCTGGGATAAACCTGAAGAGCAATGGTGGAATGCAGAAGACAGCGGAGGAAAGAGGGGAATGATACCTGTTCCTTACGTCGAGAAGTATAGACCTTCCTCTGCTTCAGTATCTACTCTCATTGGAGGTAACCAGGATAGTTCCCACCCACAACCACTGGGTGGGCCGGAGCCAGGGCCCTATGCCCAGCCCAGCATCAACACTCCGCTCCCTAACCTTCAGAATGGCCCTATTTATGCCCGGGTTATCCAGAAGCGAGTCCCTAATGCCTACGACAAGACAGCCTTGGCTTTGGAGGTACATAATGGGCAAAACTTAGAAAGAAGAGATCTGTTCAAGGGATTTCCCTTTCAATCACAGCGTAGTTTTGTAGGAGTAAGAAAGGGAAAAGCATTGTAATACTGGTTTTACGTAATGATTAATAAGTTATGGATAAAGGCTTTTTTTTTCTTTAAATGAATAAGTGACTAGAGTCACTTGTAGACTAGAGTTTGATTGTTATAGCATGTTTAGGTTACTGAACCAATACAATGTCTTTTGTCAAACATCACTAACATAAGTGTTTCCCCATCCATGTTTTCACTTCTGAAGTCTTTATTTTAGGGGGGGAGGGAGAGGGAGCAGTTCGTAAGTTGTGTGTCTGAACCTGTGTTCACTGTTGCTTGCCTCACCCCAGTCTTTAAAAGGTGTGCTGGATTGTTTCGGGTTTTGGGGTTTTTTTTCAGTCTGTCAGCAGTTTAAAAGCAATCAGTGGAAACATTGTCATAGTCACTTAAAAATAAAAGATAGTCACTTTAAAATTACACTGACTGAGTTGATGATCACACACAGGGTTTTATTGTGACATCTTGACCTCAAGCAGATTACTTTGGCTTTTAGTTTGTGAAGCAGGAACATACATTACAGTTCATTAGGGAGGTCTTGTGTAAAGTGGTGATTGATGGAGTATGATGTGTAGGAAAGCAGTGAGTTTCCCTAAGGTTGATTTGCTTCCTGATACGATCAAGTACTTGTATATGCCCTTTTTGATTTTTTTTTTTTCCCCCCTCTTCAAAAGGAGACTAGAGTGCTCTATCTCTACACATCAGATAGTTATCCCCCAAGTTACATTTGAGGAAATTGAGACTAAGGTATTCTCAGTGGCAGACCTTTGCCTTAGGATGATATGTAAATTGTATCCTTTAATCTAGGCTTTCTTTGAGCTAAAGGCTCTGGAATTTCCTGATACCTAATTGACTTCCTGTTTATATAACATTTTAAGTACTTGGGAAAAAACAGTTTCTGTGCTGAGTCAGAGCATCTCCTCTTCACTCTCAAATATTTCATTTAATCGTGTGTAGCACAAAAGGCACTTCAGTACATCACTGATGTGGCAACTGTAGGTATGTGGCTTTAGTAAGGAATTGGCAAATGCAACACATTCTACAGATCTGATAATTGATGTACAACCTGGGAGACGTGAAATTTTTCCACGTTGTGGGTAAAAATTTGTCTAGGGAAGCAATGTAAATATACTCTGAGTCACTATACATTCTGTTATATTTCTCAATCAAAAGAGAGCCAGGATACAAAATGTAAATTTTTAGGTTTAGAAGCATGTATAGAAATTTATGCCGACTCACCAGATTTTGGGGAAACGTAAAGATTTTAACCTTCAGACTTTCACACAGCCTAAAATGCTGTCTATTTCCCTCTTTTTCTCACTCTCTCCACCCAGCCACCTCCCGGAGCTTGGAAATATTCCTGAATGTCATTGTGAACTGTTGCGATTTCCAGATGTTAGATTTTCTTTGAGCCACTGGATATTATGTCATGGTATATTATCAAAACATTTTGGTTTTCCTTCTGCATTTTGTTTTTAAGCTTTTATTTATTAGTGTGCTACTAGTGTTCCCTTAAGCTTAACTTTACATTTTATTTCACTTAAAGCAGGACCTCACAACACTGCCCAACTCACAGTTTGGTAGCATGGAGTGAAATAGAGAGAGTGAGAAAGTATTGACAACCCAGGCCATCATAAGCAACTTTTGAGTGAAAGCAAAATCCTTTACACACTGAAGAACAGCTTGTGAGTGCCATGGCTGATGTGTTAGTTTAATCCTCTTCACTAAAACTCACGTGATCTGTCAACTATGCTGTGCTTTAGAGAGCGTAGTTTCATGGAGAACATCTCTCTCTTCCGAGCTAGCTTGCGCCACTGGTGTCTTTTACTAACTCCTGATAATAGGCTAGGTAGCTGAAGTGTTTGGGAAGGGGGAATTGGGAAGCGTGTAAGCTCTGCCCATCTGTGGAAGGATCTAAGTAAGATTCATAGTGTCTTTCTACCTTTGTATTAGAACAATGGCCTTTGTAGGCCTTGTAAACTTATTTTAGTATTTACTAATTGACATGTTGAACCTCTGGTTAGGATGATCTATTCCTGTCTTGCTACAGCCCTACATTTAAGAAATGCAGTAATAGTGGTGGTTCTTTACTCTGTATATAATATTGGGAAATTTTAGTTTTAAAACGTGAGCCATTTATCACTGCTTCTAGTAGGCCTTCCTTGCTGCTTTGCAGTTTTTATCATTTCAAATCACAGTGTTACTGAGTTGCTTTCAATGTCTGTACAGGAGAATATAGCAATATGCACTTCACTTTCTCCAAGTTTTTCTTCATCCTGTCTATCAAAGTACTGTTTCTTGTTGTCTCCTTTTTTCACATTCCCTTTCACTTCATGGTGTTCCTTCTCTGTTTATTTAGAGATCTCTTTCTTAGATAACTTAGTAGAAAGCGTTATGTAAATCTTATCAGTCCATTTTTGCCCAGACCTCTTAATAACTATAAATACAGAAAGTGGGATTCTTTCCAAATGAAAACTCTTATCCTTAAATCTGGCAATATTAATGGGTGGGGGTGGATCCTACTGTTTCTCTTAGGAAATAGATTCTTAACATCACACATTTTTGGCCCAAACTGCAAACAGAGTATCTGTACTGTGCTGTTATTTTAAAACTGACATGGTTTTGAAGAGCTCAAGGAAGGAGGATCAGAGCAAGTGATGTTCTAATAACGGCTGTGCTGTATTATGGAAAAAAGCTTCAGCAGAAGATAACTTTTATTTTGCTTGTAACTGGATCTGTTCAAGGAGTTGTCAGTCTATATTAATTAACAGAAAAGAGAGGAGAAAAAGGGAAGATCTGTGTGGTGAATGACTTTGAGATCGATCAATTTATTTTTTTTCTTTGTAACAGTAGCAGAACTCTGCAATTTTGACCTTACCAAAGAGGAGTACTTGGAATAAAACCACAGCATACAGAAGTCTTCACTTGAACCGTCAGTTTTGCTTTGAAGCATATGGGATATATTTAGCTTTAAAACTTCTGATGAAGACAAACAAATCTGGCTTTATAGCAGGGTACAGTGTTGTTCTTGAGGTGCTGTGCTTGGTGGGATGATACACAATAAGACTAACGATACCATAAGTCAACATTGAAAGTGAGGAGAATTCAGAGAGTCCACTTCTAGTATAAATGTTTTAAAATTCCAGCACTTGTAATAATGAGTAATTTTTTTTTAAGGTTCTCAGTATTGTCTTCAGGAGAGTATTTGAACTATAGATTAATATGCAGAGTTTCGAAGCAGATCTAGAAAGGTCTCTAAATTATTAAGGAACTAATGGAGCCTTTTTATTAAGCTAGCATTTGTGAACTGACCATTGCTTACTTAGTCAGTCCTGCTTTGATAGGTGTAAAGAGATATATATATATATATGAAAAAAATGAAATTAGAAGATGGGTATAAATGAAATGTGAATGAAAGATTGTATCAGAAAGAGCGAGTGGCCACTAAATGAAATTACTATAATGATAAAAAAGGAATATTTAAGCTCAAAGGTCTTTCTTCTTCTAATAGTTATTGAAATGCAAATTTCAGGTGTAGCTTCTTATAGTAAGGAGGATTTATAAATGGGTGTCCCTTTGCGGCAGTGACCCTGAAACACCCCTGAAAACCAAACAAGCAGCAACAGGATGCTTGTGGGAGTGTCACAAGCATCCCATATTCTAACTCACTGTCATTGCACTGTTGAACCCACTTATGAACATAAAGTAGTGGGTGATATTCAATAAGAGCACAGAGGCCAGCAGTCTAAGAAAAATATCTTACAGATAGCAAACTTAAGTGCAACTTGTGCTTTTTCTTTCCTAGTGGGTTGGAGGTTATATACTTTTCTGTTGAAAGCTGATACGTAGATTATATCCAGGTATGAAGTAATTTAAAGTTATCTAGGGTAGTGTTCTTGTAATGGTTGTGGTTAGGAAATAAGGTTCTCTGCTTCTAGTATTGTCACATTTAATCTTATCCTTGTTAAATTATTGCTGATGTTTTGTTTTGGTCAACAGAGTATTTTTATTGGTACAACCCCCCAGTGATTATTAGCAGTAGCAAAATTATACATGCTGCATGATTAAATTCCTAAAGAGCTGAAACTAGCATTCAGTAGTTGAGGAAGGCTTCCTTTTTGCCTGTAGCAAATACATAAGAGGATTTTCTTCAAAATATGATTCATTAAAATGTCTATACTAATGACTACAAAATGAAAAAAAAAGGGCTACAGGCAGAGTCCCAAGCGTGCCTCTCATTACCAGATAAGTAATCATCAGAGGTATGGGAAGCTTAATTAAATGCCCATGTAGTGGTTTGAATTTATGAACTGTTAAAAGCTGTTCTGGCAAAAGATTGCAAGTGATTAAAACCTGTAAAGTTAATGGAGATTGGTAACATCTTAAATTGTTTTCCTTGTTCTTCATTCACTGCCCGGAAAGTGAGAATAATGAGATTCTGTTTTGGATGAATTTGGAAGAGTGATGAGCATCGGTGTAAACTAGTAACTGTATATTCAGTGAATTTCTGGATGAAATGCAGTAAGGCTTGTGGCCATGCCTTAAGAGTTTATTTACAGTATTAGTGAAAGAAAATAGAATATATCTGTCCGAAATGCATTCTCCATCTGTGACACGGGAAAAACCGGAAACCGTTGTATGTAACTTATAAATACGATTATTGATAAAAATTCTACACAGAGTGGTAGAAAGGGGTAGACAATTTTTTCAGTGTTGCATTTATTAAGTCTCCAGTGACTGTCTTTACAATGTAAATTGTGCTTTCTTAGGTTGTATAAGTGCTACTTAATAAAAGTACCCTTGGAGATACAACAGAGTTGGAGACTGATTAGACCTAGACTTGTGGCCCTGACTTCAACTACATGACTGCACAGCCTTGGGAAAGTGCCTGCTGTGCAGTTTTCCACCTTTGTCAAAAGGAAACAATACCTTTAGAATTGGTTATGTGAATATTAGGTTGGAGATTAGAATATGAGATATATTACTCTGCTTTTATTTAGTGTAGTACATTAGAACTGGATACTTTTAAACTAGAGCATATTGTTTCATCAGTCCATAGGAAACATTCTTTCATTTTTCTAGCCAAACAATTCAGGTATAAGAGGGAGAAGGCATCAATTGTCTTTACTAAACCCATGGAATTTATTTATGTGAGAAATCCATGGTGGGCAAGACTGAAATACCATCTGGCCTTGCCTCTAGTAGTGGCTAGTTGTGGATGCTCGGAGTAACAACAGAGCAGCCTTATGGCACTACTTATTGCCCCACTTACTCTCCCAGTGTTTTATAATCTGTGGTGCTATATATATATCTATAGCCCCCGCTTATCCGGAACTTTTTCAATACTATCTGAAAACACTACTACTTCCACTTAGTGGAGTTCCAAAATGAAGGAGCCATTTAGCTTGCAGTTTAGTGTTCGCTTTGTATACCTACAAGCCTTCCCTCCCTTCACGAGGTGGTTGATGCAGTACGGAGTGCAAGCCTCTGTCAGTTCAGCGAGATGCGTTTATTGTGATAGCAGCTGATGTCAGGTCCCAAGAGTGCTCTGAAAGATCGGTGTTGGATTGCAGGCTCTTCAGTTTAGGTAGTTCTCACCTAATGTAGGTACGCTTCTTTCTCTCTATACTTTCTTCAGGAGTGAATAACATTGGGTGGTAGGCTGGTGTATCAAAAATGGTCAAGACTAAAACTTTTTTTATTATAGAAATGTATCTGGTACACTTGGGTGATTGACACCAAAGGGGAGGGGTAGTAGCTCATCCTACATGTTTTTATGAATCGTAACACTTCCTTATTTCTTATCCTGCAGGTCGGTGAGCTGGTAAAGGTCACAAAGATTAATGTGAGTGGTCAGTGGGAAGGAGAATGTAATGGCAGACACGGTCACTTTCCATTCACACATGTCCACCTGCTGGATCAACAGAATCCTGACGAGGACTTCAGCTGAGTGTGGCTCAACAGTTGCGCTTACAGATGGGAACAATCTCAACTTGTTTTTATTGCAGATGCCATCAAGACTTACGTTCTGACAGATGTTGAAAGCAGTATTGCTTGTATAAGCATTCTGATAACCTGCAAACCCCTGGGACTGAACACCACCATTCCTTAATCAAGGGTCATGTAATTCAGGGTACGACAGTAGATAACTTGTGTGTCAAGTGGCAGAACTAGTACATGATTATAGGTTGTAATGCCTGCTTATGTCCATGTGCACAGCAGACTGGACCTTGCCAGCAGCAGCAGTTGGAGAAAGCAGTAACGTAGATGTTACAGTAACGTTTATAGCTCTCTCCGGTCCTATTGCTTATGTTGCTTCTTCCTCAGGCAATGAACATCAACCTTAGACAATTCAATATATAGATAGAAATTTTACAAATTTAGCCTGGAGCTTTCTCTTTTTTTTTTTTTTTTTTTTCCATCCTGAATTCTCTGTCCTAGAAAGGCTATATAGTACTTTGCATGGTCAGTTAACTATGCACAGTACAGATTTACGTAGAGCCCATTGGGGACAGCCTTATGATTTACAGATGCTTACCACTTTAATGGTAAATGACAGATCAGATCAACCTTGGAATTCTAGAAGTTTGTGGACACTAGATTGATTTCTTCACTACTGTTGATGCTTCAAACATAGCAGCTGATTTCAAATGAAGATTTTTATTAACACACCAATATCTCTCTTTTTCCACAAATATAAGGCTTATGGAAGTGTAAACATCCGTATCAGTGCTGAAAAATATGTGCATAGCACTTTAATGCATAGCTTTAAAGCAGTGTTTGATTCACTAAATATACTAAAATATTGACGCTGCTTTCCAGTAAAATTAAATTATATAGGGCCAATTTAATTTTTCTAGAATTCTTCAATACTCCTATTGTACAATACTCTTACAGTACAAATCGGTGTCAAACATGGTGAACTGACAAGCCAAATATTACTTTTATTTTAAAGTTACTCTGGGGACTCTTCTGGTTTAATTCCTATCTGTAAAATATTTGATAGTGAATTCATGAGGATTTTATTTTTAATAAACTAACGGAAAATACTTGTGTGCTTCTGGATTGATTCTCAAAAGGCATAATAGAGTAAATATGGCTTCACAGCTCATAATGCAAATTGGTGCATTGAATAGGTGATATTATGCACTGCTTGATTTTTTTAAGTCTGTTGTTCTAATTATCTGGGTTTCTCTAACATGAATCAGAATGGGTTTAGTAAGTTTTGTAAACTGAAATTAAACACTGAAGTAACTATCCTTTGCCTGTACCCTGGATTGTTTTCCAAACACAGCACTCTAGTGACCAAACTTAAGCAGACAAATTTTGTAACTTTGACTACAGTGTCATCCATACAGAACAGGTTTTCTAAATAGTATCAAACTGAAAATGTTATTTTGGATGATACAAGCCATGTGACTAGAATGGTTCATTGGTTGTAAATGCTGCAAGGGCTAGTTCCCACTGCAAAGGCTATTGCTGCAAGGCACCGACCCATACAACAGAATACTAGTAACACTTTACCTCAGAACCGTGTAACATGCTGGAAACGATAGTATTTCTGTTATATTTAAGTACTAGTTGTTTTACTTCAAAACTAATCCATCAGCAAGTCTGACTAATTTTCAGGTAAAGGGCACTCATTAGTTCTGTAGACTAATGCCAATGTACACGAATTATACTTTTCCATCACCAATCTCATAAGCACTACTGAAGATGATTAGAAAACTGGCAGTTGTGACAGTTGGCTAAGAGGAATGGTAACAAAGGCATTGCAGTACTATTCTAGCTTGGATTGCTATTCTGGTTAGGGTGATACGCCAGTGATTGTGGGATCTCTTCTAGCTTAGTACAAAATCTACTTTGAGGAAAAAAAATTGAGAAACTAACTCTAGGTTCTGTAACACATTGGTTTCTTTAAGGCTAAGTTGTATTTTTCCTCTGACTTTGATGTTTACTATGACTGATTTTTTTTTTTCAATAGCTGCACTCTAAGTAACAGACATAATACTGAGTTTATCAGTTGCCCATATATGCTTGTGTTTTTCTTCAGGTATTGCAAAAGAAACATAATGAACTGTGTGTTCTTAGAGTAACACAGTTTGTTCTGAAGTATTTTTTCCAATTGCAATTAATGAAAGCCCATATGTTTGTACCTTTCCAATCAGCAATTATTTTGAGATACCAAAAGAACTTTTTCTGAAAGAAATGTTATTATGCAAATCTTGCCTTTTTAATATGAAAGACAAATTGAATTAACTAGATAATACCCTGCAAACTTTGTAGATGTGGTTTTGTTAAGACTGTATAAATTGCAAATATTTGTACACTTTGAAAGAGTGGAAAAAAAGAAACTAGAGGAGTCTTAATAGCTGCTGTTGCACTAGAATCCTAAGTTCTTGTCAAGCAGTTTTTCTTAGTCAACTGATACATTAATGCAACTGTTTTCCACTATTCAGTTCTAAGCAGAAATGTGATTTTGTTTAATAGGTGATAGAAATGAGTATGTTTGCATTTGGATGAAATAGACACTTCAACTTACCAAGCTCTTAAAGGAAAGTAGGTAGAACATGTGTTCATGAACATGTAGATTAAATCCTTTTGTGGCCTTTGTTTATCCTCTTCTACTTGTTCCCTCCCTTCCCCCCGATGCGTGCAAAAAAAAAAAAAAATCATTGCTAAGAACGTTGGTCACAATCTTTTTGTCTCTACTTGGCTGTGTTTTTGGTCTCTTGTGCATAGGCAGGTGTTAGAACTAGAATAATCATTTCTAGAAATACACCGTGAAAGCAGAATGCTCAATTACACTGTGTTCTTCTGGTGCATTTACACATTATATCACACTAAAAAGTACAACTGGCTGCTATGGTTTTTTAATATATATTTCATTTTGGTAAACCCCAGCCTTTTTACTAATATTTGACCTGGTTAAATCTTGTTAATCTGTTTGAATTGTATTTGTTAATAATGCAAATATTTCTAATCATCTTAAAGAGTAAAACACTTCATTTTTGTTAATGGTTTTGGGGAAGGATTCTAACCAAACCAGTTTGAAGAAAAATATGAACATGTGCCATTGTATTATAACACTATCCACTTTCTTGACAGTTAAAGTCTTTTTTTATTTTTTTGTAGCATGTAATGTATATGTTCATAGTACGTGAAATAAATAAAAGTATAGCCAAAACTTTGACTTGGTGTCATTCTCAATCAGCTGTCCTTGGAATACTTGCATTTAATAATCTAAAAATAGAACTGCGGGTATGGCCATTTTTAATTGGCCATACTCATATGAAAACAATTAAACATAACACCTGCAGACATAAGACAAGCCAAGGTAACTAAAATAACTTATCAACCAGTAAAATATTATGGCCTTTTTGAAACAAGGTGACTCTGTAGTCAAATGAGTTCCTTGAGTCAAGGGGTGGGGGGAAAAGTATATGCTCACTGCAGTAAGAGGATTTATGAGGAATGTTAAGAGGAGACTTTGTAGCTTTAGTCTCAATTCTACCTACACATGTGAGTTGGGAAATAGTTTGGGGATTCTTTGAATGATGTGTGTCTGGAAAGATAAAAAGCTGTTTGTTTATTCTTAGAATTGTCAGTAAAAACGTACATTAAGTATACAAATTAATAACCAGCAAGAACCTTGTGCAAGAGTCTACCAATGGTTCAGAAGGACTTTTAAGTGTGGTAAGTGGGAGAGCACTGTTTCAATGAAAGACTGAGATGTGCAGTGTACTGTCAAGGGATAAAGCGCAGAAAGTGAGGACCAGAATGCCTGTATTCCATGTGGGAGAACATTTGTGACATGAATCTGCATTAGACCTGCTTTTGCCATTGTGATCCTTAAAAGCTTCACAGGGAACTGGCCTCTAGGTCATCAAGGATAAGAATCTTGATGGCAACACTATATCTAAAGCCAGACAGTTTAATTTGGGGTGTACACCAAAGAACAGTTCTAGCTCTGCAGCAGTGGGTTCCTTGGTGTGGTGTGCCGTAGTTAATCATGGACCAAAACCTTGAGGCCTTCAAAATCCCTCAAAGCACTTGGCCTTCTGGAGGTGCTCCCTAGTTCCACAGGCTCTTGCTGCATGGAAAAGGCCATGTTGCATGTTCCCAATTAAAACGCTACTTCACTGTCCGTTGTTCCTAAAAGTATACAAGGATCAGTCTTGTTAGTACTGTCATAATCATTTTCCTTGCTGCTAAGGGCAAGGACAGCACTCATTTTCTTAGTCACTACATTACAGTGATGGCTCCTCATATTTTAGTTGATCCATATTCAGTTGGCTGGCTGCTACAGTCACTGCTGTTTCATGGAGTCTCCAAGTGGGACATTACTTGTTAAATGAGTGACTTTGCATTTAAGTGTACTGAGATGCCAGCCAAGTTTTTCTGTCATGTCTCCACACAATAAAGATTATTCTATCAGCTTCAGATGGAAAAAATTAAATTTTCATAGGTTAAAGTACTGCCCCCAGCTTTGCTCCAGTGCTCATCCAACTTGGCTGCAGCAGAGCTGCAATCTGAGTGCCTTTTAATGAGATTACCTGAGATAATTTAAGAGCTCACTGCAGCCAAAAGGAAGAGGTTCTATTTGCCTTTCCACGCTGCCCTGATAGCCACGCCCTCCTGGTACTTAACCTCAGACTGGTATTTGCAGAATGCCTCCGTGAGCTGATGTAACACAGGGCTCATGCAGAAAACTATTGCCCCTCCTTTCCTTTCACCTTCCTTCTAACAATGGTTCTCGGCTGCAGTAGTGGTTGAATCAACTCATGTGGAAGTTGAGGGTGCAAGAGACAGGCAAGGATTCCATCGGCAAATTATGCTTTGAGTATTTCCCTGCATTAGACTGTTTACTCCTCATGCTTTGCCAAATCCCTGACCAATTTCCAAATATTTGCACGCCATCTGTAACAAGTGCATTCAAAAATATTTGAAGTATTTAGACAATACGCTGTAATTCAACAAGCGTATCAAGCATGCACCTCACTTCTGGCAAATAAGTACACTTAAAGTGACCTGGTTTACTTATATTGTTGAGCTCTCTGCAACTTGAGTACCTGCCGAACATGAGGATCACAGAAAAGTTCCTAAATGGATGCAAATCTAAATTATTGTGCACAGCTCCCATACAAAACTCTCAGTTGCTGAAAAATTGACTTTTATGGTCAAGATTTATGAAGTGAAGTGAAGGTGATTTGCAAGTCTCACAACGAGTCTTAGTATATTTACCCAAATACATGGTGACTCTGCTGGTATCTTTTGGGTGCCTACCGGAACTGCCTTGGTAATGGTACCATGCATTTACAAACAATTCAGAGATAAAGGTATAGAATGGTTCCCAGTTTCAACAAAACCTGTATTTTCTGATCATATTTCATCTAAACTGAAAATCAGATTTTTTTTCTGGACTTGACACCTAATTTTCACCATAGTCCAGACACGCTAATGTCTTTGTTTTTTCTTTTATTGAATTCTGATTAGATAATCCTGAGATTTGAAAAAGCATTGGGGCCCAAAATGTCCTATGTAAACAGACCATTGATTTTCTCGGTAGGCAAACAGCAATATTAAAATCATTGTTATATTTTTAGATTTATTTGTAAGAAAACCGTAGGGTTATGTTAATTTTACACACCCTAAAGGTCTTGTTCACCAGCTGAAATAATGTGTTAAAATGAATCAGTAAACAATAAACTATTTAAAAAAAAAAAGTGCTTTAAATTGTGCTTTAGGTGTATGCCCTCAGTCACACATCAGGAGCCCATTTCAGTGGGCACAATACAAAAGAGTAAATAGAAGAATACCCAACACTGTGTCCAAGAGGTGCCAGGGCCTGCTCAGTCTCTGCTGTGTATCAAAAGTTGCAGAGGCCATTGTGCACTTCTACACCTCAGGAAGGCTGAGGGTCTTTAGCCGGCTCATCCTAGGAGACACTGGAAAAAAGAGATATACAAGACTTCATTCACAACTACCCTGAGCAAATCTTTGAAGATTAAATTTATGCCAGCTGAGCATAATCCTTTCTAGTTTTCTC